ACCGAAAACTTATATTAGCAGGGAATCGGCATCGGCATGGCCATCATCTAATGTGCGGATGATGGATGATAAGCCGACAAATAGTTCAACACTCGCACAGCAACTTCCTGTGGTCCTTGGCATTGGCAGCGTCTCCCATTTCGTCAATGGAAACTATTATTTTGTTATTTCGCAGCGTGGGAAGAAGGACGAAAGGAGTGCTACAACAGGTACAACAGCAGCGAGCACCCAGCGAGATGAATGAATGAATGAATGGAGATTCTGTTTGATTCGGGCTGACTGACACACGATACCACTTCAAATGGCAAATGCCAGAAATGGCAGGAACTCAGGACACACACACACACACACATGTGAAGGAAGGAGACACAGGAGACACATGCAGGAGGGCAGCAGGACAGGCGGAAAGGGATAATAACGAGGCTAATAGACGGTATCGAATTTAACTCTAGCAGATAATCATCGCACTGCTCGGAGAGAAGGTGCTGGAGCAGCGCGGTAATTGTCTAAGGATACTTGACGCTGGGGCAAGTGTACCAGTCCTTGATGCGCTGCCGAGGTTAAGGAACTGCCACGGCTCTGCTCTCCTCAGCACTCAACTCTTTGTTCTGAGCACTGGGCTCTGGCACTCCTTTTGCGCTCCTTTGTCCTCTGTCTGCTGGCCTTGCGTGTCCTGCCCTCCCCGTGCACCAGTTGTCTGCAATGAAGCGTGCACGGAACACAGATCCCCGCACAGATCCAATCTGACATAATTAAATGCAACTTTTGGGTCGGTTCATAGTCTCCTATCTCCCAACCAACCATCGCATCGATCCATCGACTCGCAGCAGCAGCAGCAGCAGCAGACAACCGTCTGGCCAGCCCGTGAATTGCGTGCCAGGACCTCTGGTCTCAATTAAATGCCATTTGGAGTACGCAGCAAAAGGGTTTTTTTGGGTTTTATTTGGGTTTTTAGAGTTTTGTGTGCCTCAAATACGCGTTCAATTATTTACATAAAAGAAGACAGGGGCAGTGTACTTGCACTTTCACAGGCCTAAAAGTACTGAAAAAGTCTGTCAACTGTGTCCAAAAACTTCGTCGGGTTAGCCACCGCCCCTCAACCCTTTCAGAAAGTCTTTCCGCACGCACCACAAAATGATAGGTTCGGGCAGCAGAGAAGTATGAAGAAACGCAATTAAATATAACCCATTCGAATGCGAAGACTTGTTAACGAACTTATTAGGCGTGCCCCGCCACTGTGCATTGTCCACTGTCCAGAGTTCCTCTATTTGTAATAGAAACATATTCCGGGCACATGTCTATGACCGCCTTTGAGGGACAGTTCGAGTGCAAAGAGATAATTGCCTTATGGTTTATGTGTGGGGTTAGCAGGAGGAGCAGAAGGAGCAGCAGAAGGAGCAGCAGAAGGAGCAGCAGGAGCACCAGTAGAAGGAGTGTACTTGGGTGGCAGTGTGGGTGTGGTTCAGGCACCGTCTAATTGAGCAATTAGTGGGCTAAAAAGGCAACAATCGAGGCCATTTGCTGGCAAAGGACCTGCTGAGAATTCTTAATGAATGGCTAGCCAGCCAGCCAGCCAGCCAGCCAGCCTGATGGCAAGTAGTCGATGTCGATCCATGGAGCAAGTTCTGTCTATGGCGACATTTATTGACTGTTGAAAACCCCCGAAATTATGCAGCAAAAATGCTAAAAAATTCTTGGCTGGAGTTTCCGTTTCCCCTTCCCACACCCTATCAAAGCGATTGCATTATCGCTACGCACGCGACGCTGAGGACCAGACCTGTGCCCCCTGCCCGGCCATGCGAGAGTGTGAGCGAAGCCGCAGGACAACAAATGCAATTTGCTTAAATGTTATTGCAGCCACAACAACAACACAGTTGTACGAGTAATCAGCAGAAGAATCTACAGAAATGAAACCGAAATCGCGTCCACAGTTAATGAGATTAAAATACACAGCGGGAGGTGGTGGTGGTGTGGTGGCAGTAGCTCTGGCTGGCTCACCCGACGGGACGTCCCCCAATCTAAGGCGTAGATTGAGACTGCAGCAGCAGAGACGAAGCAGAGGGAGCAGAAGACGAAGCAGCAGACGGGAATGAGATGTAACCAAAAACGGAACCGCAGCTCAAGCCAGAGAGGAATGCGTGGAATGTGCAGTGCTGGGTCGCATAAATCACTGCCATAAATTAGTTGGCTTTTAATTACGATTATTATGCTGATAATAGCGCGCATTTAACGCGCGATAAACATAAATAATCGTGTCAAATGCAAACAGATGTCGCCACAAGATGTGACAACCGACAACCAGAAACACACACAAAACTCCGTGAACACACAGAACTCCGAGAATGGAGCCAGCAGCAAATCACGGAGTCTCCATTCAGCCGAACAAACATTCAAACAAGAGCCAAGATGCGCACAGACACACACGGGGCCAGCTGATCCCAGCTGATCGACGCTGGGAATGCCCTCTAGAGTCCAGACTTGTACACATATTTCTGAGGAATCAGTTGTATCATTGAGAAGCGAGCTCAAGCTTGAAATTGAATTGAAATCGAAATCGAAAGAAGTTTGCTTGATTGTAAATAAATAAGCTTTATTTGACAATAACATATATGATTGAAAAGAAGTAGCTTAAGCTGGCTTGATTGAGCTGTGAATTGAATTGGAGAAAAGCATTAAAAGTTACATAAATTAATGATTGAAAAGGAGATGCTAGTTTAGAGCCTTATTATTATAATAGTTCCGTAGTTCCACAAACAACATCACACAATTTTATAAATATAATTCACAAGTATTAATTTATTAAATATAAATATAAGTCAGAGTTTCCTTTCCCCTTATATTCTCTGCTGTTCTCCTGTCCCTACCATAAGGCATACCCCCTGGCTGCTGCCCTGCCCGTACAGGGTATGCAAATATTTTCTCATTTTTTCTCGTGCTTAATGAAAACAATGTGTGAACAAGATTTGTGAACGAAAACCGGGGGACCGTACCACGGCGAGGGCGTGGCTACCATTAAAAGATTCTTGAAATGCCTTTGGCATCCTCCTCAGCGGCACCAAAAGGGAAAAAAGTGTTGACACTTTTTGGTGGCACTCGGAGATGCGGGGATTCCGGGATGCCGGGATGCCGGGATTGGAGTTTCACATTCATCTCTTTCCCCTCTGGCGCCTAACTCCACTCAAATGTGTGAGAAATCATATTTTAATTAAAGTTTTTGCTGCTAATGATTTTGTCAGCGCCACAGTGATGGCCATTTATCATCCTGCTGCTTCTGCTGCTGCTGCTGCTGCCTGCTCTTGCTCTGTGTCTATCTCTCTACCGCTCTGTCTCCCTGTGTGTTTCAGCTTACCTTTTTGGTTGCACTGCAGCATGGGGTTTTGTTCTGTGCTCTGCTCCTGCCCCACATCCATGTTCTTTTGCAAACCGATGCCAAACGCATGTCCCGTCTTTTGTTTTATGTCTCTCACTGTCTCTGCTGCTGCCTGCCTTTCTCTCTCTCTCCCTCAGTGTGTGTATTTTTCATTATTTTAATTTACAACTTGCTCTGGCACTCTTTTGAAATTTGACTATGGCTCGACTGCTGATTGCAGTGTGGGAGCACAGCAGGACACGGCTACCATGTGACAAACAATACCCTGAAACAGAAGTCAGCGATGGCACAAGGATGGCACTTGAGGTCCTCGGTCCTTGGTCCTCCTTCCAGGAACAACTTCATCTTCATCCAACTTTAATTGCTCGCAACAAAAGGCCACAGCTCGCCGCAGCAGCTTTTCAAGTATTTTAATTCAAAATGTAAACAGAGATTTTTATAGGAATTTTCTTACATTTATTGAATCCCTTTAAAGATTAAACATAATTTGTACTTACTTTTCTTTTCGATTCCTGTTTAATAGCAAACAAATCTCTGCCCACTGGCCCACTCCAACTGGGGAATTTCAGCGATAAATTCCTATCCGAAAAACAAACCTACAAAAGTGTATCTTCAATTCATTGCCCTGGCAAATTGTTTTTGCCCCCTCAGCCACACCCCCATTGTATGTACATTGTGGGGGAAAATAACTGCGCAGCTTAAACCACTGCCAGCAAGCAGGAATCAAGCAGCAGCCAGGATTCAGAGGCAGAGGCAGAGGCAGAGGAGGAGCAGAAGCAAAACAATCTGCAGCCACTTCAATCTCAATCTGTTCGGGCTCTGACCAGGGGTTCCCCCTTGCTATCAGGGTTCTGCTGGGGGTGCGGTCCACAAATCTACGGTAATAAAATTTAAATCACCCACACACTCGACTCACCCGCACCCACTTGACGGACAGACGAACGGACGGAGATTGCGAGCGTTAAAAGTCGTTAACGACCCAACGGCAGGAAGCATCTAGGCAGCAGCCATCCATCCAGCATGCTTACAACCCCCAAAAACGAGAGAAAAGCGCAACCCTCAATCAGAGACATATTTTACGCTTATGAACTGCAGATACAAAGATACAATTTAGCAGCGCCGCTTTGCCAAATTGATTCCGCCTCGCCCTGCACCGGCCGCTGGAGCCATTTCCCATTACCCAAAATCAATCGAGAGTCTGCGGCTTTTTGTTGTACATTTATTTTGAATGAAATTTAAATATTTTAGTTTATCTGTATCTTGTATCTTGTATCTGGTAGCTTGTATGTATATTAAATAATTAATTTACATGGACACAAAAAAAAAAGATATAACATAAAATAAACATAATAGAAAGATGATAAATTGCTGGATACATCGATAAATTCATAAACTAGTCGAAAGCACTAATCGGAGTGTGTCTGTCTCTGTGTTTGTATTTGTGTGTGTGTGTGTGTGTGTGTGTGGGGGCGTGGCTGGTGCTGTGCGGGTGGGTGTTGCATGTGTATGTATGCTAAGTATCTAAGTATCTGCACTAAGCCTACGTTCAAATAAAAACAACAACAAAAAAACACATTTAGTTTTAGAATTAGTTTAAGATTTTAGTTGCTGGTTTTTTTCTTGCTCTCTTTTCTGTTTTTTTTTTTTGTTGCTTGTTTCTTGTTGCTTGTCTTTTGTCTGATAAAGCACTAAAAGTATGTATGCCTGTCTGCCTGTTAGCTGCTTGAAAATGTATTCTAATGTACAAGTTTAGAGTTAGAATTGAGAGACGTTCCGCTCCAAAGGTATTCGCTTAGCTTTTTACATACAATTTTTGATCGTAACGAACAAAATCCTATGCCACACCATATGTAGATACATACCCCCTTCTCCCTTCTCCCTTCTCCCGTCGCTTTTGCCGCTTCGTAATTGGACTAGAAATATATTTATTATGCCTATCGTCTATATATTTTGTAAGGGGTGTTTTCTTTTTTTTCTTTTTTTTATTAGAATTGCATAAATGTTCAACAAATAGTTTGTGATTTATTCTTTATATTTATTTACTTATTCTCCCCCCTTAAACTGTGTGTGTGAGTGTGTGTGTGTGTGTGTGCTCGAAGCTTGTCTGTTGGTTAATAATTCATTCAGAGATTTCTTTTAGGATTAACTTACTTACAGGCTAAGAAAAAAAAACCATACATACATACATATGTCCTCGCGTGTACATATGTATATAGATAGAGTACTCTAGATATATATTTATATATTATATGATCTACTAACTATTAAAAAAAAAATCGACAAAAAAAACAAACAGCTCCGCTACACTCCATCGATATCTCGAATAGAACTAACTTTTTGCTGTTGTATTTATTTTACGTATATTTCCGTTCTTCCTAAGCTAGCGACAAGCAAATGTTTTTTGTTTTTTTTGTTGTTGTTGTGTTGAGTGCTCGATTAAGTGTATGTGTGTGTGTGTGTGTGTGGTTACGGACATACATAGACATATAGAGAGAGAGAGAGAGAGTGCATCGAATATTTACAATTAAACGAGAGTAATTATGTTCCTAGCTGCATCTTTTCTGCCTCCCACTGCAAATGGATTCTGCTTGATTCCAGATCACAAAAAAAAAAACATTTTACATTATGCATTGGAGATGTGTATGATGTATGTATGTAGATTGTATGTAATATGTATATGTACGAGTGGATCAGGTGGATGAATCAATCCAATCACTCGTAGATATAGTTTAGTAAGCTGCTGGGGTTGCATAGAAATTCCAATTCCAGTTCCGTCCAGGAACCCATTTCCGCTCAGTTGGTGAACAGAAAGGGTCCCAGCGACCCTCAGACCATCGGTGGCTTAATGTCCACCAAGGCGCTGGGATCCAGACGGTCCAGCCGATGCTCCAGACCCGGACTGCCCGCCGCCAAATGATGGTGATGATGATGATGCAGATGCGCGTGCGGATGCTGCTGCTGCTGTTGCTGCTGCTGCTGCTGGGCGAATTGTTGCTGCTGCTGTTGATGTTGCTGCTGTAGATGTTGCTGCTGGGTATGTTGCTGCTGCTGCTGCTGGTGGTGTTGCTGCTGCTGCTGTTGCTGGTGGGTCTGCTGCTGGTGGGGCTGCTGCTGATGGGACTGCTGCTGCTGTTGGTGTTGCTGCTGCTGCTGCTGTTGCTGTTGTTGCTGCTGCTGCTGGTGCTGGTGAAGCATCACCGGCGACCCGCCCGCGGCGACCATCTGGTGCGGCGAGGCCAGGTGCAGACCGCCGCCCAGCAGGCTGCTGGGCGTGCTTGATGCGCTATGCGCGTGCAGCGAGGTCGGGGTGCCGGGATGGCTGCCAGAGCCAGAGCCAGACCCCGATCCGGAGCCGGAGCCCGAACCGGAGCCGGTGCCAGATCCAGAGCCAGAGCCGGAGCCCGAGCCGGAGCCGGCGCTGGTTGGGCCACCCCCGCCGCCACCGGCCGCGCCCGTCTGTTGGCCACTGGTCGCGCCGCCCAGCCCGTTGGACTCACCCGACTGATTGGCGGCCTCCTCGGAGTCGCTGCAGGACTCCGAGGAGCCCTTCTTAATGCCATTCGGCGCCGTGCCGTTGTGCGTCTTCACGTGCTTTGCCAGATGGTCGCTGCGCATAAAGCGCTTGTTGCACACGGGGCAAGCAAAGCGCTTCTCGCCGGTATGCGTCCTCAGATGCCGCTGCAGCTCGTCGGAGCGCGTAAAGCGCTTGCCGCAGAACAGCCAATTGCACACGAAGGGACGCTCGCCGGTGTGCCACCGCAGATGCGCCTTCAGATGCGACGTCTTGCCGTACACCTTGCCGCAGCCCGGGATGTGGCACGAATGGATGTTCTTCTTGCGCAGATGCACGCCCGCCGGCCCCAGCCGCTCCGCCTCCTGGCAGTTGGGGCAGTCGCAGGTCGCCCGGCCCGCATACCGACGCTGCGACCGGGGCGACGGTGTCGACGGCGCCGACGACTGCGGAGACACCGCCGCCGAAGACGCCGCCGATGGGGAGCTGTGCGGCAGCGAGAACCCGCCCACACCCTGTCCGGGCAGCATGCTCTTGTACGTGTCCTGCAGCAGGTGCTGCCCGGAGCCCAGCAGGTGGGCAGTGTTCGACAGCGAGTGCGACAGCGCCGACGAGTAGTCGGAGCCGGCGGCCGCGGCGCTCGCATAGTTCGCCATGGTCGAGTGCATCCCGGCTGCGGCCGCACTGCCCATGTCCAGCCAGCTACCCGCAGCACTGTGCATGTCCCACCACCCATTCACGCTGTTGACGCTGGCCGCCTCCGCGGCCTTGTGCGACACCGTGTTGAAGGGCCAATCGTAGGGATGCCGCGAGTACACGGACCCAAATGCCGCCCCCTCCACCTTGCCCAGCAGGCCCTGGTGCATGTGATGATTGTCCGCCACCATGCCCGCCGTTGAGCTGCCCGTGTTCGGGAAGTACAAGTCGCCGCCGTATGCCGACACGGATGCTGCCGCGGCAGCTGCCGCCGATGCCGAGGCGGAGACGGAGGCGGAGGCCGAGCCGCTCACCGCCGCACACGACGAGGCCAAGGGGCGACTGTAAGGATAGATGCTGAATTTTACTCGCGAGTTGTATAGAGCCAGCTGTGTGTGTGGGGCCGAACAGTGTCACAGTGGTCGCCAAAAGTAAGAGTACGGGTTGCCAAAAGGATATGCGAATGATGGATGCTTGCTGGTTTCTGGTTGCTGGTTGCCACTTCCCACCCATCATCCAGCACCACCCACCCATTTGTCTCTCTCTTTTTTTGGAGACCACTGTGCGCCGTTGCGGGTCTTACCTGGCTGTTATGTTCACCATGGTGCTGGCGCTGGCTGAGAGGCTTCTTGAGGATTGTCCGCTGGCGCTGCCACTGGAGCTGGACGAGCTGGCTGCTGAAATGGCGCAGGGCGAGTGTTGTCCGGCGCTGCTGCTGCCACCGCCACCTCCTCCACCACCGGAACCGCTGCCACTGCTGCCTGCAGCCGGGGAATTGGGACTCTTCTTCCATGGATGGAAACCCTTGCCCACCGCCGCATCGGCGAGCGGTGGCGGCGATTTGTTGGACAGCTTGTTGCACTGTGCTGCCAGCATGGCCAATGGTGTGCCCCTCAAGCTGGGATGATCCTAAAACAGAGAGAGAGAGGGAGAGAAATAGGAAGATGTTGTCAAATTTCTTAATTAAGTTTGGGTGGAGCTTCGCGTGAAGCTGCAAATTATTCAAATACAAAATTAGTTATGCTCAATTTCGCTGCCTGCTGCCAGAAATTCAAAATCAAAGAACCAAAAAGCCCACACCAGAGAGCGGTGGAGCGGGGGAGCGGGGGAGAGCGTCTTCTAATGCCGCCGACGCCAGCAAGATGAAACCTGAGGATGGAGCAGGACGTCGCTGCTGATGGGCACACAGCAAAGCCACAAAATTAATTCGCCACGTAAATCAAAACTGAAATTTGCTTTTAACGCCGACGGTCGAGGATTTTTACGGTCCCACGAACTGACACAGAGAGAGAGAGAGAGAGAGAGAGAGAGAGTTGCAACGACTAGTGGCAGCAAAAAGCAGACAGAGAACTATCTCTGCTGAGATTATATTCAGCTGCTGACCAAGGGTATTCCTGATGCGACTTGGCAGAGTTCCTGCAGCCGACAGACACTTATAATCGCCCTCGCTGGAACGTCGAAAGGAAGTCATTAAAAGGCTGGGCTCTGGGCTCCTTTTGTGGCTGCAGCCTGAACGTTGACTTAGCCTTGGCCCAAAACTAATTTTCAATTCCGCTTTTTGTCTAGCGACTGCGCCCGACACTTGTCCCGGACTCAGAGCCAATCCATGCCCAGACCTCATCCTCGAGCATCTTCTATCCGCTGCTAATTTCTGCCTGATTGACGACGGTCGAGGATTTCGTTTGTGTGTGTGTCCCAGAAAGAGACACACAGAGAGAGCAAAAGGATCTGCAATCTGTGGTCTCTGATCCTCATCAAACACATTTCGTGCCACGGCACGGCAGCTGCTTGAGAAATGGCAGCCAGAGAATTGTCAACAACAAGTTGAACCACTTGCCACTTGGCAGGCTAAAAGTGGTTCCAATCAGGCGATGGATGGATGCACTGATCGAAATATTCCAATTAAACTGAGCACTTTGGGTGTCCCCTTCTTTTCGCTCAGTGCAGCGCCAGCGCCAGCGCCAGCGCCAAGTCGTGTGGCTGCTTGTCCGCTAAAATTAAGTTAATAGTTTTGGTGCTGGCTGGCCCCGCTCGGCAGTTTTACAGTTGTCTAGTTTGGCGCTTTTACCGTTTGTTGGCTACCCCCCAAAAAAAAAACGGGAACACTGCACAGGCAGAGAGAGGGGGAGACTGCACTGGCAACCGGCAATCAGGCTGTGATCGGTTCGGTATCGGGATCAGAGCCACCGCGGAAGCTACTCTTTTGGGGCAGTAATTGCAAGCGGCCTCGACCCCCGATCGCGATCCCGATCCCGATCCTCCCACAGCAGCAGACCAGAGACCCCATCCTTGGTTTGTGTGTGTTTCCGCATTGCATTTGGGGGCAGCGGCTGGTCTAAGGCTGGACTCTGTGGCACGTTTATGTCGCTGCCGTTGATTCTCAATTTGCCAATTTTCAATTCCACTTTGGCCCAGGCAGGCAGTCAGTCTCTCTTCCCCCGCCAGACAGGTGCTTTGGCAGCCTAATGACATCACCCATTGGAGTCGTGCAGCAGCAGCAGAAGCAGCAGACAGTCAAAGCCAAAAGTCGAGAGCCACCGAACTACTTTGGCCTCTGTGGCAGCGGCACACACTTAATTGGAGCAATTTCAACATCGTGCAACTGCGCGTATGAGTAATGGCTGTTCTGTGTGTGTGTGTGTGTGTGTACCAGTGTGGCATGAAAATTATACGAAATGTTAGCAGGGGGAGCAAGAGGCAGCAGTCGAAGAGTCCGTGTCCGTGTCCGCGTCCGAGTCCGAGTCCGAATCAGAGTCAGTCAGTGAGTTGGTCGCTGAAGTTGCAGCAAATTAAAATGCAAAAATGATTTGATAAATCGATCGGCGAGCGGGTTGGGGGATGTGAATGGGTGGGTGGGAAACGGGCAGGTGGGCAACGGGATATCTATCATCGTTTCCCTCTACGCTGCTCCATTGCCTGCTTTCCCTTCCAATCGTATCACCAAATGAATGTTAACATCATGTGCCCCCCCCC